CAGAATTGGATAAATGTTTGGAAGGTATGCCTAAATTATCGTCTTGCATCGAAATAGAAAACTCTGTAAAAATATTTACCGAATCATTGAAAACTTGTGCCAGGAAAGCTATCTTAAATCCCTCACGATCCACGCCAAATAACGACTACTATCATCCTCCGATGAGAATAATGCGTCTGATTAGAGAAAAACATAAAGTTAGACGACTTTGGCAGCGATACCGTCTACCACACTTTAAAAGGCAACTCAACGAACTGGGAAGACGAGTGAAAACAGAACTCGAGGAATTTAGAATAGACAACTATAAGAAGTATGTTTCTGATATTCATCCGAGTGACCCAAATATGTGGAAAGCAACTAAACGTCTTTTAAGTACTCCTTCGATCATACCTACGTTGAAAAAAGACAACCTAATCTGTGAGACTGATTCACAGAAGTGTGAACTGTTGGCAGATTTTTATGAAACTACATTTCAACCCACTGATCTTGCTGATTATGGTGACGATGAGATGGTGAAAGAAACTTTGAATGGACAATTTTTATCTGCTGAACTACCAATAAAGTTTGCATGCCAATCTGAAATTAAAGCAGTAATTAAAAAACTTCCACTCCGTAAATCACCTGGCCATGACCTTATTCCTAATATTATTTTGCGAAATCTCACCAACAAAGGCTTTTCATATTTCACATCAATTATTAATGCATGTTTGTCTAAATCTTACTTCCCTTCTATTTGGAAGCATGCGGAAATATCAGTTATTCATAAACCCAATAAACCGAAGTCTTCTCCATCGAGTTACCGTCCAATCAGCTTACTTTCTACGCTTTCTAAAGTCTTTGAAAAAATCATCTTGAAACGAATTGCCTGTTACATGGATGCTGCAAATATAATTCCTGCTCATCAATTTGGATTTCGGCCAAAACATTCGCCCATACATCAAATCCTACGAATATATGAAACGATAGTCAAAGGGTTTGAGAGGAAACAGCACACAGTAACGGCATTTCTTGACATATCTCAGGCATTTGATAAGGTATGGCATGACGGTCTTGTCTTTAAATTGATTAATTTCGGATTTCCAAAATATTTAACCAGTATTGTAAAATCGTTTCTCTGTCACAGGACCTTCTCTGTTAAAATTAGTTCTTCCAAATCATCTGTCCGACGAGTCAATGCAGGAGTTCCACAAGGTTCAATTTTGGGCCCTGTATTATTCAATCTATACATGGCAGACATCCCTCTTCCAGAAGACGCCTCATTAGCTCTCTACGCCGACGACACTGCTATCCTGTGCCAACATTCCGACATCCACGAGGCCACGTATTCCCTGCAATACTCTGTGGATCTTCTCATTGATTGGTTCTACAAGTGGAAATTTTGCCTAAATTCAACTAAATGTGAGACAAAAATATTTTCCTTGAAAAAACATACATTGCCACATGAAATTCAAATATATGGTAACTTTCTACCTTGGAACCCTGATGACCAGGCCATAAAATATCTTGGAGTATGGCTGGACAAAAAACTTAATTAGAACTACCACGTTAATCAAAAACTGTCCCAAGGTTATGCACGCCTTGCAAAGCTTTTCCCTTTAATCAATTGGAAATCTACTCTGAAGCCAGCTTGTACAGTTCTAATCTACAAATCAATAATTTGGCCCTTGATTACATTTGCATCTCCTATCTGGGGATTAGCTATATCAAAAAACAAACTCTTCAAAATTCAAGTGATTCAAAACAAAATTCTAAGAATAGCGGTGATTGCTCCCTGGTTTGTTAGAAACAGGCATATACATGAAGAACTAGGAGTGGAGTCTATCTCGGCCTTTATTGAAAAAACCACCTCAAAATTTCTAAAATCTTTAAACGATGTTCCTGGTGCATTAACTTTTCGTCTTGGTGAAGCAACTGAGAACAGGAGGCTACGTCGAAGGCTCCCTCAAGATCTATTGGATGAATGAAGCCTAAAGACGATTAAATTATTCTCTAAATTAATTATGTTACAGGGTGTACAAGGTTTGGGCGAACCCACGATGTTATTATAGTTAATTTCTTTTTAATTTTGTTTACCCTTCTGGGTACTTTCCTGTTAAAGGGAACATTCATTATTATCGATGATTTTTTTCTCGATATATCGATAGTAGCAAATTGAAACATATCAGCTGACAACTACGCGATAAATATTGTTCAGTATCAACAAACAATAATGAAATAAAACTGTTCTAAAAAAATAACCTAACATAACTAACCAAACTTGCTATAACATTTACAAATTCCGTGTTTAACTTGCCTTTTCTATTATCAAACACAAACGGCATTTTAAATGGTCCAACAAGTTTGGTTGGTTATGTTAGGTTAGCTTAGAATATTTTAGCCTAAACAAGATCAGTTAGTTGTTGTCAATTTTTAATGGATCGTAAAATAAAAATATCGATATATCGAGAAAAAATCATCGATAATAATGAATGTTCCCTTTAACAGGAAAGTACCCACTTCTGTGTATAATGTCTACATTGAACCAGAAATAAATGCTGTAAAAAAAAATAAAAATAAATAAGTGTAAACAAAGAAAAGTAAACACAACAACATATTAGTTTGTTTTGTAAACAGCTGAGTCAAAAATAATATTCATTTGAACAAAAGAACTGGTCACATGTTGAAGGAATTTAAAAAGTAAAAACGCTAGTAGAGCTAGTGACGTAATTGATTGTCTATGTTTATTATCCATTCCGTTATCAGTTCCAATATCCTTGATAATTAAACCACCCTCATTGAATCAATGTACATCGTAATTCCCCATATTCATTTATTTAAACTATAAAATATTCAGCGCCTCCAAACGTAACCACAACTAAACACACGCCAAACAACTTTTTTAGATTTCATAAAAGGATGGTTAGTCTAATGCAGTATCCTAGGTCAATGATGACGTTGTGTTCAATCTGTGTCATTCATCTGTATATCTTTGGATAACACCCGTCTGAGGTTTTGGTTGTAAATTAAAATCGTATTCCTGAGGATTCTTGATCTCCATCTTTATCTTTATGACATCAATATTTCCGGGCCTAATCCAAACAAAGTTCAAGCATTCAAAAACATTGATTGTAAACAAAAAGCTGCCAAGATTAATTAAAACATGTAAAAATTGTGATTTTCCTACCCTTTCCAAAAAAGTTGAGCAGTAAAATAATTTGCATATCTTTTTTATTTAACTCGTGTACAGAGCCTCGACTTGTACACATCGATGGTGATACTTATCTCGGTGGTCTACTAATCTTACTTATTTCCTATAATCAATGACAAAATCAGAGTAAGTAACCTCATAGTTCTATTTGGCATTTTTATAACTAACCAGCTGTTGGTTAAAACAAATTATATTGCTCTTAAACAAATCGAAGATTACAAAGATTGCTTAAAATAATTTGAACACCCTAGTATTTTACTATGTATATTTAATTAATCTGTCATCCTCTTACAGAAGAATTGAACGTATCAATGATTAGCATTACACATAGTATAAATAAGTCAACCCTAAGTATGTCTTTACATGTTTATCCAAATGCTGAATTTGTGACACAAAAGCTGAATGTTTACAGCTGTTATGTTAAGCAAATTATTTTATGCCAAAAGCTAGTTTAGAATCTTAGCGTCGGCTGCTAGACTTTTTAAAAATTTAAACTCAATTTCTAAAAAACTGGGACCCAAAACTAAAATTATGGCTTCGACATTCCCTAGTTCTCAAAATTATCTTTCCTTCAACACAAAAATCATGAAAATCCGTCTAGTGGTTGATTCATAATCGTGAAATAAAAAAACCCTGTTTCGTTTTAATATTATAGATAGATAGATAGACGAGGTGTTAGCCCGTCCTGCGTACGGGAATCGAGTAGTCCATTAAAACTGTATATGATTCAGAACAGCTAGTTTACAACTTGGTGGCCGATTCACACACACTGGCTTTGAGTACAGTAGCAACATACCACCTTCCACTGCATAGGCCTACTATCACTTACCGTACCTTATTTTACCACATTGGCCACTGAAACCTCTAAAATGATCCTGGCCTCCCGTTCTCTTCTATATCCCCTGCCATTTCTAAGGAAGATACCAGTCTGAAGATGTCTTTCATTACTTGGTCTTCCAAGTGGTCGTCTACCTTGTCGTACTCCTTGGAATACACTTTTGAAAGTTGAAGTATCTTCTCTCTGCCACGCAAAGCCTGTCCAGCCCCTCCGGGATCTGAGCCTTTTGGAATGTACCCCTTTATCAAGTTTCTGAATCATACAGTACTACTGGGATAGTTATGATATGGTATGAATCGATTTTGGTTTCTACTGACACCCTGCAGCTTACTGGTCAGTTTCCTGGAGACCTACTACACTGGTTGACATTTTCATGTGTACTGTATGCAGTCATACTTATATTCAATCATCTAGAAAAAGATGTATCAACACGTAAACCACTTATATCTTAAAGGATTAAGCACTTATACTTAGACGGATTGCATTTATGACAAAACTTGATTATACGTTTAAAAAGTTTAGTTCAAAATTACACAATCTCCTGATAACATAGATCTTTTACGGTAGGTAATAAACTGGATTTTAAAGTGAAATAGTGCGTAGGCAAACTCTGGATCAATTTTGCATACAAACAACTTGTAACATAAACATTTCAATGACAGTTAGAAACCAGCTGTTAGTTAAACCATCACTAAAACGACTTTAACTCGTCCGTCGGCTGCTAGACTTTTTGAATATTAAAACTTAATTTCTAAACTGGGACCCTAAACTAAAATTATGGCTTCGACATTCCCTAGTTCTCAAAATTATCTTTCTTTCAACACAAAAATCATGAAAATCCGTCAAGTGGTTGATTCAGAATCGTGAAATAAAAAAACACTGTTTCGTTTTAATATTATAGGTTATTTTTGACCACCTGGTTATACAGTTAATATTGAGCCATGTTTTGTTTTGAAAACATTCGATAGTATTGAATGTCTGTAATGACACACGCTAAAATACAGTTTTTTAAACCATTATGGGGTTTCTTATCGAGACGGATGTCTGTCCACAGTAAAGAGTTTTCTTATGTTTCTCCAATACCTAAAGACCGTTACCAAGATGTCACTGCCCATCTGAGAGTTAACATATTTGCGGACGAACCTCTAAACAAATGTCTTGACATATTCAAGAAAGGCGAACCTCAGAAAGACTTGGAAACATTAATTAACACCGTTCTGAAAGAAACCCTATCTGTGATGTTGGTGGACAAAGAAACAGGGACTAATGCAGGCGTCTTGTTGAATTGTCTCTACTTACCAGCCACGGTTGAAGAAAAGAAGAGATTCAGTGATTCAGTATCCTGCGATAAGTTTAAACGTATTGTCACTCATATATACGAAGTTAACAAGCCGTTGCAACTATTTCCAAAATTCGATGTTGAAAAAAATATTTGATATTAGTCTCGCCTCTACAAACTCAAACTATCGCAGAATGGGTTTGATCCAACAGTTATTGGGTGTTTCAGAAGACTTTGCGAAGAAGAACGGTTTTAAAATTTTGAAAGCGGATGTGACTGGAGCGTACTCCGCAAAGGCCTTAAAATCTGCTGGATTGAGGTAATTCATGAAATAAAATATGTTCATTATCTAGACGAAAATAAACGACCTATATTTAAAGTCGACCCCCCACATGATGCTATACGAGTGTTGTTGAAATGATTAGGACCAGTGAACATGAAATAACCTAAATGTTGCTATACTAATTCGTAATGAAGGTCCACTAAAAACCGTTCAGAAATGTAACTTGAACTTTTAATGGACTGTTAATTACTTGGTTGTCTAGTAATGTCTTATGAAACAAATGTGTTAGCCCTAAATCTATATTTTTTATAATTTAAAAATTAAGTTTTCATAACCTTACAGTATATTTGTAGTTTATTAAGATAATCTCATGGCTTATTTTTCCAGCCCTTTTTAAAAATAAGCTTTTTTGTATGTTTTATAGTCATCTTAATTATTTTATTGGTCCCAAAGATAGACGTTATTCATATAACTTTTAGTTTATGTCAGTTCATTTTCAATGTGCGAATAAGTTATTCCATTAATAATTTTAAAATAATTTGAGATATATAGTCTAAAACGGGTGTTGGTCAAATAATTTTCTTATACATCTTCTCCCTGTTACAAAGCACAGGCTTAGCTATTAGTAACCAATAACGTAGGCCATAGGGTAATAGAATTTTAAAGTAACTTTATGTCAAATTATTTGTCAAGCCTTCAAGTCAAAGATTCTTCACTCACGACTTTGCACTTAAACAGTAATCGTACTTAATTAGCCAGAAACTAAAATCACGAAGTTTGAATACTTGCCAGTAGGTATGTTAGAAAATTCATTAGGTGCGAAAGTAAAGAATTTCTACGTTCGTTGTTAAAAGGTGGGGCCTATTTAACATGCAGGCTGCGGACATATTAAGGACAGAAATAGTCACGAATGGCACGCGCGGATTTTATTCCGCGCGCGATTACCAAATCGACAATTCACAACGGGGATCACCGCGGCCACCTTCGCTTGCAGATTGTCTTATTAGCCGAAGCACTTCTACCGGTAAACTGCTGAACAGACAGCATTGAATAATGCATAGCTTGAATTACATAGTGTATTTAGATAACAAATTATAGTTGTGAACACTTCTTGTGTTGCGGTTACTCATGTGAAACCAGCATCAAAGGTAGTTTACTTATCTCGTACGTCTTCAGTCCATGAATGTGGTCGTCGGTTTCAACCATCTTCCAAAAAACGTTTAGGCATTTTTTTCACCAGTCCAACCACGCAATTCACGAAAACCAAGCTTCAATTACTATTCTACTCTTATTGCTTGGTTTTGACACAATCCAATAAATATGTTTTTAGTAGTCAACCTATTTTTATAGTCAATCCAAAAACGTCGCGGCTGTTCCGTTGTTCGTGGGCAGGCTGCACCATTAATCATAAGCCTCGTCCTCATTGGCTGTCTAGACCCTGACAAATAGATGCTGTCCAATCACATCTGTCGTTACAACTCATTTACTCCTCGGCTTCTTGTTAAACAGCTTTAAATAGCCCGCCGTCGTAGTTGAGGGAATCTACTGTAAGAGAAATTGACTCATTTGCATCTGTGTTGTGACCGTTTGATTGTACTATCTGTTAAGTAGTCTGTGAGTAGTTTTACCTCCATTATGGGGCCTATTTGTTTTTAAATTAATAACTTAACATTATGTATTTTTGACAAGGTTAATTATCTAAAATGTAAACCTACATCTATACCTGAAGTAAGAACCCATACTTTAATCAACGATACACATGCTACGCAGAATTAACTATGTTATGTTGTGTACCTCAATAAGTAGGATTAGAGAAGGATTCAGTGTGAATGCTTCGCACGGGTCAGCTAGTATCATTGACTATACAGTCAATGCTAGTATGTACTTAAATTGTAAATATTTACTGACTACTGACTGAGCCTCCGATAGGGTCTGATGGCCATAGTGACAGTTAGAAATCGGCCAATAGGTATTGTTTATTGGTAGGCCTATAACAACGATTATTATGCATTTATTTATTGTGTAGCCAAATTGTATTCAAATATAACCCCAAGTGTGTCTTTCACAGAGTCAGCTCATATGAAATTTATTTTTCGTTCCCTACTTATTGATATTTTTTTATAATATGTTGCATAAAATACAGCTATATCTACTGTACACTGGCTACATTGGAAATTGTGTACACAGCAGAAATCATTAACTAACAGAAGCGTACTCTGTTGTAGATTAAATTAATATGCATACATTTTTAAGCAAAACTGGCTTAAACTTTAACCAGTTACGTCAAATTCTACACATTGTCAAAGGCAATTGGCTACTCAATCTTTAGACCTGGCGACCTGGGATGTTAAAAAAATCTTGTGAGAAAATTCTACGTAAGTGTCCGATCATTTATCGATGCCGTGCAGTACAAATACATTTTCATTTTATCTTTGTATTTAAAATGTTGTTAAAACTATTATTGAATTGTTACTCGGCTGTTGTGATGTGTCCATCTGGTTTAATAACGAGTTACTTCGTAATAAATCCAGTGTTAGATGTTGCCATATTTCTGCCGTTACTAGGAACGATTTTTTTCCTTTTTGAAGACTTATCAAATATTCAGTATTCAGTTGAGGATACTCGCTGATATTTTGACCAGCAGCAATGGACGTAAACCATCGCAGTGCTTGATGAGGTCGTTTGACATGACTCATAAACAATTATGCGGGTGTCATTAAGACCCACATGTAACAAAAGATTAAACCACACAGTCAGTGCCTCCCCTGCCTTGTCATTTAGTTTGAATTATCATCAAACCTCTAATATCATAATTTTGAAACCCCGTACGCATAAGCCAATCAGACAGAAACCTTCCCAGGTGGAAGAATTAATCAAAGTACTCCTGTAGATTCAATTGACGGTTTGGTGATTCATAAAGGACAAACATAAATAAATGAATTGTGTTGTGAATTTGGTTTATCGAATGGTAATATTAAAACACATTTCAACAATTCCAAACCTGTAAATAGAGGCCTATACACGGTTTAATTGTGGGAAAAAGCTGATAAAAAGATTGCTTGGTTTCTGAGTAAATATGGATCATACACAGTACAAGGTGTTAAACCCTTTTATTATAGATAAAAATAGTTTTTTAGTGTAATAATGCAGGTGTAGTACTGATATCAACCGGTTGAACAGAAACTTCAACCCATCCAACCAAAGAAGGAGACAAAAACACGTAAAATCAAAAGCTTAAATTTTATTGATTACTAGCTGACCCGGCGAACTTCGTATCGCCTAAGTTATAGGTTTCCCCTAAGACAGACCGATGGAAAGAAAGTACCGTTACGTTTAATTTTCAAGATGATCTCGTTTGCATCGCTCAATCACGTCCTGGTTGAAGTTCGTTCGCTACGCTCACTCACCTTTGGGTTGGATAAGTAAAATACTGGAAAACATACGAGTAGTATAAGAATATACTCTTATGTTTATTATCTATTTTACAAAAATATTTAGTTTGGTCTTAGTTTCGTTTTCATCAAATCCCAACATCTACACAAAATAGAAATTATTTTTTATAAATAATCATAAACGATAGTTTTTTCACGCCGATTTTTATTTTTTATTCCTTAATACAAATCAGTTAATATTCGTTAGACAAATTATATGTATAAAATAATGGCTCAATAGAGCAATGGGGGAATTGCGGCACCATCTTCTAACCGAATGCTTCGAACTTTACGTCTTTTTCCTCGAAAGTATATTAAATTTATTATCTAATTACCAAAAGAACTATTGTTGGCTCTGGCAATAGTTTAGCAGTAGCCTATGTGGAGTAACGAACATTGTGTTAAGTTCTTGAGTCACTATGTATTCAATTAATTTCAATTTTACCCATAACATGACATGTGTTCATGTACAATAAAAAAAAACTGAGATATCCAACAGAAGAATTCTAAGTATTAAGATTTCCTCATGAAAGCGAGAGAATATTCACACCGTAATCTACAGTATTATAATGGTGTGCAATCAACAAATTACTCTTACATATTCATGGGGTTAGAACTGCATTTTAATAGGCTGACAATGATGAGGAATGAATCCTTATAATTTATAGTTCCGATGGACTCCTTGCTGGTTATTAGTTTGATTTAGTGTTTCAGTAGTTGAATGGGGAAACCAATAACATATGAACGTAGTGACACTGTAGTTTAGAGAAGAATGACGACAACTCAATTATTGAGATAGCCTGTCCGCGCCTAGCCTCATCAATATGTATTGGTCGAACGTATAAACTAACCTTACAACCCAACCGGTAGTCATTCTTAATCTGATTTGGAATCAATCATTATAAGGACCTTCTTGCATTCATTATAATCGTCGATCTTACGTATGGGTAACTGTATGTAAATACATTTTCCCTAGAAGTTCTCAGTGTTAACTTTGTGTTTAAACTGATTAGTTTAAGCCGTTGACTATTAATACAACGTTTAAACACAGGTCTGATTGGAGGCAGTCTAGATTAAATAGTTTTAAAATATAAAGTTACGGGTAAAATAAATAGCCTACTAATACATTTTATATACATCAAAGACTAATCCAGGTATTAAAGAGTTTCCGTGGAATATTTTCAATGGACAAACTATTGGAGAAGTGTAGAGCCGTATAGTTATACAGGGTGAATGAAAAGTCAAGACCCCCCATCTAATTTTTTCTAAGTGAGTATACAGAGATTTACTTTTGGTGGTCGTGCAATCTTAGCAGGAAGTTTCATTTTATGATTTGTAAATTTTTTAGTGACCCCCAATAAGGGGGGATTAGGGGCAATTCAAAAATTTTAAATGTAAACCCCCATCAAGTGACACCTCATTTTGAGTCGCTTACAAAAATTAAAGAATGTTGAAACTCAGAGTTCACTATCTCTTCTCTATCCAAAATGGTAGCCATATATTACCACTACGAACAAAAATTACCATTGATTTTCCATAACATTTGACGGGCTGCTATTTTGGATAGAAAAGAGATAGCAAGCTCTGGTTTTCATCATTCTTTAAGTTTTTGTAAACACTTCAAAATGAGGTGTCACTTGAAGGGGGTTTACATTTTAAATCTTTGACTTGCCCCTGAAATCCCCCCTTTTCGGGGGACACTCAATAATTTCAAAATCATAAAATGAAACTTCCTGCTAAGACTGCACGACCACCAAAAGGATATCTCTGTATACAGTATTCACGTAGAAAAATATTAGAGGGGGGTCTTGACTTTTTATTCACCCTGTATATTTGTTACTATTAATTTTTGATG